GGTGATCCCTTTTTAGGCGCCCCTTATCCCGCACCTTATCAGCTTTGATCACGCGCTTTATCGGCTCGTCCACCTGTTGTCACTTCCTGTCACCCCCACCCTCCCCCCTCCAATGGTGTTCCAAACCACTTCTCTGAACGTCTCACTGTTACTGCGACCCGCTCAGTATGACCTTCCATTCTGACGACCTTTCTCAGCTTACAACTCCTGTACCTTCCGATCACCCATCAACTATGTTCACGTCCTGACCTCTACAAGACGCCTGTTCAGGATTTCAGCAGTTTGATAAGATTGGTCCTCTGTGGAAAGTGTCGTACCAAACGAGAAAGTGAGAGAGAAGGGCATTAGCAGAAATTCTTCCAGCTGCCAGGACGTGCCCTGCACAGGTGCTGCGAGTGCCTCAGTAAACCACCTTCGCCGGGGGTGAAATACAGTCTTGTTGGCGGCGGGATGTGGGGCGTATCAGAAAGATGCGTTTGACGCGACGCGCACCCGTTTTCCATCAGTAGTTGAATCGAGAAAGCGACAACAACTGGAGAACAGGCTGACGCCAAACCCAGCCCTCCTGACAAACTCCGACATCCGCTGCGAACAACATATGCACACCACAGGCGAGACATTTACTGGTCACGCGTTATGCGCGCGATAACACCAATCGTTCTGAGTTGTAATTCTGCCATCCTTCATATTTCATGTCCATCACGAGGTATGTGGCAGGAGAATCGTAACTCGCCGCGTTGGTGGGCGTCGCGTGTGATCGCGTCTGCAAGGGCGGTCGTTCCAGGTGGAGCATGGCGACAACAAGCAATTCAGAACCGAAAATAGTCATGAATGTCTAGATGACGGGGTCTACATGAAGTCCGGTGCTCCAACCGACAGGTCCACACGAGTCAAGAAACTGTCGCGCCATCGCCGCGCGCGGCGGAGCGGCAAATTACGATTCTCTTGCCCATCTCCCTCCATCGCAGGATAGCAAAGCGTCTAGCAAATCTCACAAAAAATCTTCAGGCCGAATACAAATAACTTACGATGGAACCCGTTCGATAACACGGTCAGTGTTGAATGTCGTGTCTTTCAGCTCTCCAGAACAGAGCCGCCTATAAATTTCCCAAGCTTTCGACGCCTCTCCAGCCAATAACCACATCTCAGCTGCATGATTATGATGGTCCGTACTCTCCAAGAAAGACGCGCTTTCCTCATAGTTCGGATGGAAGTTCTCGAGATGAAAAACATCGTCCAGCTTGTGATGAAGCACGAACAGTTTCAAAAGTGCCGTATCTACGCTCTGAACACAACAGTGAGCATAAGAGTGCAACCATGAACATAGCACTTTACCAACTAACCGCTCGTGGTGAAATCGCGAAGTGCGTGCCTCTAATCTGCAACAGATACTCTTCCAGAAACTGGTAGCTATCGGGAGAAGTGACAGTGTTGCTCAATATACTCTCAGCGTTTGGCCATTCAAATGATCGAATTACCTGGAAATTTCCTAAACAAAACATCGGAGAAGGGCAAAATTGAGAACGAAACGCTGATGTAGCACGGCTACAGCTGATAACGCAATCAGTAGGGGCGGTGCCAAGAAAGCGTAATTTGTCCGGCACCGCCTCCGTTGCTCTACCAATGGTGATTTGTCCGGCTCCGCCTCCGTTGCTCTACCAATGGTGATTGGTTGATGGTGGAATTAGGAAGAAAACAACCAACAGTGGGAACGCCGTGGAAAGGCTTATTTCATACCGCTTGAGACCACCCCGACTGATTGCACGATATTATCTGCACGCAGTCCGGTTCGTCACTATCAGGACTTCCATTGACTTCACATAACACATTGACGAAATGTGTTGAGACGTCACTACGTCACAACTTTCTTCACGTGCTGAACACGTCATCTCGTAACTCTCAAAAGGTAACGGACCTGTGCTATACCTGCGCCCTTAAAGGCAGCGGGGATGGTGGCTGTGGGCGGGCAGTTGCTGCCGAAGCCATTGGGTGAAGGGCTGCGAGGGGGCCTCTAGCCCTCTCCACTCCTCCCATCCAATAATGACGTTGGCAGCAACAGTCCCTACTCCCCACACGCCAGCCATCGCATCCACTGCTTTTAATAAAATGAGAACGCAAATATACGCTCTTTTTGTCGCCTTTATTCCGTCTGAATTTGCATAGGGAGTGATTTTAGCTCAAAAGCATTACTTGGCTGTAGAGAATCATTCGAAAAAAAGACCTCTTCCGGATTAACTTCTGTTGAAACGAGTAGCTCCGCAGCTTTCTCAAATACTTTCTCCTCTATATATCGAAAAGCGATTTTCTTTTTCAGACTGATGAAATTCTGAAATAAACTCGATGAAGTGTTTGCTAAGTACGAGTAGATTAATTGTGAACAATATTTAGCAACGAACCACCAGGCTGTCGACGTCGAAACGCTGGTTTAGCTTCGTCTGATACAACGATATAGCTTCGTCGTATTCGCCGTGAGCAAAAAGGGCATCAATCTGTCAATATCCATTAATTGAAACTTACTAACAGCAACGTTTATGAAAAGTTGCAACCGTTTTGGAAGACAGGCCTTGCAAGGGAATATAAGCTACTCAGACCACATAGTGTAGAACGACTGGAATGAGTAGAACCCGAGCGAGCGGTCGCGAAGCGGTATCATATGAAGTAGTGCATTTTCTTCGTTTCGTAGTGGATAACACTAAGCGGTTGTGGTCACAATAAGGCAGCCCGTAAAGCGCAAAAAGATCAACTGGCTCATTCCCAAATACCTATTAAGAGCTGCAGGGTGAACAGCTGCACGGGTTTACAGCGCTAGGCAACCTTTATACTTCCGCGAAGTCTGAACACTCCAAATTCAAAAAATCGTTGCCGATCCGCTTGTTTTGAGATATCACCAGATTCCACCTGCACAACCTTTCAGGTGACACACTTACTAAGCGGGTCAAATCCCGACCGGCTCCCGCCCAGGCCAGCCAAGCCTTCTACCCACCAGTTTTCACAGATTGGTTTGGGAGGGTGAAAGCATTGACTTGTACATCGGCTGCCCGCTGCGACTGGCCGCACCTTCTGTATCGGCCAGTCGCATCGATATGCCACTACGATTCTGAATGGGGGTAGAATGCTGCCGCATCCCAAAAAGCAATTGATCTACGGAGAAGACTTGATCCTTTACACTTTTGTTCCCTCATAAGTGAACTGGTACTTATCGCCCGTAGAAATAACATGAAATGTGAACATCGCTATCAACTAACCTGCTTTTCTAATGATATCATAGAAACGTTATGCAGTATCTGATTACTGACGACAAAAACTGATCCATCAAGTATGGAAAGCACTTTAGAATCCGCAGCTTTGATGCTTTGAACGATGCGAGAGTCTCCGAGACTGCAAAAGTATTTAGAAACCATCTAATCAATGAACAACATGAGCTTCTCCTTTCGAGAGGATTGGACTAGATAAATGGCTTTCTGAAGTATTTTATAATGACAACTGTAATTCAGCGCCACAGCCCGCGCTCCGAAAGTTATCACAAGAATGCTAAGTTATAGGCGGAAGTCTTGACTAACAGGCGGGATTTCAACCCGCACCACAGATTTACCGGCGAGCGCTCGATCCATTACGTCACCAGGACCACTGATCGCTCTGACAAGATCACTTGAAGGCAGTTGGCACGATGGTTTCCTACTTAGCCTAAAATGCTAGTAGGGCGCTGTATAGTGGGGAAATGGCGAAAGAACGGAAAGAAAAAGCCTCCGTTCTCAGTGACTTGTAAATCGATTTCGGACGAGTTTCCCGTAGGCATCTTATCAATCACCGCTACCGAAGATACGGCTGCATATGTGTACCCATGTATGCATGCAGCATCACGGCCGCTTCATACCAATCCCTTCGCTTCATAATTTGCTTAGCAAATGAATGAATACGAGCGTCAGGAACGGTCGTCCATTTGTGGGCGGGCGGGCGTGGCGGGCGTTTGGGACGTAAAGTTGTGGCTTGATAGGGCCCTTATAAGGGCACCTTCCTCGGGGAAACCGCTATGCAGCGCCTGCCCAGGGTCGCGGAATTCTATCCTGCCAGGAGTATTGATCCTAGTCGTCTTGGGGGATTTATCGTGCCAACTGCCTTTAAAGTGGAGTAAATGAAGTCGATCCATTTCAACGATAGTAAAACAAACGCACGAGGTGCGCATGATAGGCGCTTGATGGTGATGTCTTGAGGAACATGACACAGCACTCGTTGCGATAACAGCTAAGGGCGCCTTAATTTGGCCTCAGTGTGGGGAAGGGAGTCGAAAAAGCGTTTCCGTGATACAGAAAAATTGTTCCGCCCAGTTTCACCTGCAACCTCCTCGGGTTGGCGTTGCCTCAAGCCGCATTGGGAGGAGGGCAGCTTCAGGTGGCGCAGACTCGTTTTCCACCGATAATTGAAGTTGGGAAAGTCATAAGTGCTTGGAAACGGACTGCGATGCGCCAAACCCAGACCCGTGAGACGCCCCAGCATTCGCAGTGAACAAGAACGTACCTCCCCCCCCCCCCCGTGCGACGGTAGAGCTTTGGAAAAATACGCCGTAAAAGGCCCCACACAAGGAGGGGATTTGGGAGGTGAGGAGTCCTATTTATCCAAACTTTTACACAACGCTATGCTGTGCCCTGATGCGGAAACCTAACCGCTTCTGAAGTCGTTTTGATAGATAACTGCTGTTTTACGCCGCAGACGTGTTACGAAAGTTATCACAAGAATTCTGAGTGATAACTTTCGTAACGCGTACTGCGGCGTAAAACAGCAGTTATCTAACAAAACAGCTTCAAAAACTTGTAAAGCCTTCGGCCTCGCGGTTCCATGCCGATATCTAACGATTACGGCTGACCGGCTCACCAAGTTAAACGTGTGAGTGCTGTAAGGCTACGGCATAAGCCGTTAAGCTGAGAGGGTAAATAGGCCCTGGTGGCGTAACGGATAGCGCACTCGCCCGGAAAGCGTGAGGTGCGGGTTCGACTCCCGCCTGGGGCACGACTTTTGCCCATAACTCAGCATTCTTGTGATAACTAACCGCTTCTCTTTTTGAGGGTAGCGGTGACAGGTATTCTGACACAACTTGAGGCAGCGTTCAAACTTCGCGACGGCAGCGCGCCCGGAACGCTCGACCGAAGCGCTGCCGTCGCGAAGTCTGAACGCTGCCTAAGTCACTTCGCCTACGCAGCTACGTTCACATTCGAAGATGTCCCAGATGAAATAAAAGGTCCATTCTATTGAGATCTCGTTGTTCCCAAAATTTAACGACCAAAAGTTTAGAGCTCGTCCCTGATAACATCACGTCTTTCCTCAAAGGACTCAAAGAATCCGATATAGCAATACTGAAGGAGGTTGCCGCGAATTATGAAAACCAACATGAGACTGAGGACCAGGTAAGTGAACGAACTTTCAGAGCTCAAAGAGAATCCCAAGATATTCAGGTTTATGTGTTCTAGGCAATAGCTGAAATAAAGAAAAAATCACCCGAACTTGGTGAAAAAGTTGAAAGTCTTCACAAAATGATCCTGGACAAAGTCAATGCCCTTAACCCAGAAGCAAAAGAGTTCGCTCTCGAGGTTGGACGTTGATTAATACAGCATTTGAGAAAGCTCCTCAATTTCCACTCAACAATTTCAGATGTACCGTATTGTGCGTAAACTCCACACGAAATCCATTGCTGGCCAGAAAATAACTGCAAAGGAAATAACCGACCAGGCTCAGCAGGTAATCGAAAAGTTCAAGGCACTGCCCACGGCTGCTCAGGAAGACCTCAAGAAGCAGTTCCCTATAACAGTTCACGCATTCACGAGTGAGTACAGGATGTCACCAACTAGGGAGAATAGTCAAAAAGTTTCTTGCAGGCAAGAAAATCAACAAGATGGTGGCAAGGCTATTGGTCAACGGCTAAGAGCTGCTTCATTAGGGCGATACAAGCAACGTCACTACCACAGTGTTATACGGCAATGTTTTCCGTTTTCATATTTAAGAGTTTGTTTTTTACGAGTAAACCATTTTCTTAGACGATTCGAGAAGATACATATGATTTAACACTTCCACAAACATTCATTTGTCACTATCCAAACGGCACAAGCCACGACTACGCCACGGTAGAAGTTCATTTCCAGAACGAGATGGGAATTTTGAAACAATCCTCCGCAGTGCGATTAATCATTGCTGTGCTATCCCTACTACCCCAGTTCCCAGCACACCTCCTGTCCTCGTGTCGAGCCCTGCCCAAGATTGCCACAGGAACTTGTTAAGTGGTCATGCACCAGCTGTAGAACTTTTTCTCCGGAGTGCGAAAGGAAACCGCCGAATCAGGCCGTATTGTAGTTTCTGCCGTATGCCAAACATAATTAGGTCTCCAGTACGCGTCTGATTTTGTTTTTATTGCTTTTTGTCGTTATCTTTTAACCGTGAAAACTTTGAAGGCAATGAAGGAGCTATCCCTTCAAACGCCATCACAAAATACGGCCAAAGGTCAAAGGGGTCACAGACTTCACAGACATCATGTAAACTTTCAAAATTGGTATTTGTGAAGGCTGAAGGAGGTCAACCTGTCATCTCGTGCGGGTAGTAATGTAGTTTGAATAGATTAAGCCTCAGGACAACCCCTTGAGGGACCTCGAGATGTAGGATAATTCCAGACACAGCTACAGGCCAAGCGCGCAGCTGAAGCACCTCATTCATCCACGATCTTTGGCCAAAGATACAAGATGTCCCTCACGAATTCGTGCGCGATGACCCACATTTTCCGTCCATTCTAGTCCAGGACAGCATACCTGTTAGCGTTACATGCGTGAAAGGATAGGCATTTCTCGAGAAGAGATTCGAGATTCTAAAAAAAGAAAAAGGATAAAAAGGTTCCGAAGACGATACGAAAAACACATTCTGAAAGTTGTCGTCCGTGATTTTGGCCACAGACCCAGATACTCCCCATCATTTCGCGGATGCCGAACCACGTTTTCCGACCGTTCTAGTCCACGGCAACACAGCTATTACCGTCTCCTCGATTACTGTATCAGCCCCACAACACGCCGCAAAAGCTCGCATTGGATGGACCACGAATGTAAAAACCTACAAACATCCTAATGTGGGTCAGCTCTGTAGCGGCCGCGACACATACGTCCTCTCTGATAATTTCAGAAGTCTTGCAAATGATTCAAAAAGATTCTAACGTAACACGGGCCGCAATTTCAAATTCATGTGATAATACCGTGACTGCTGACCCTAAGCACGTGTTCTCATAGCAGTGTACCTGCTCTCTGCCAGAGTAGCATTCCTACTCATCCATCCCTTCTAAGTGTTTCTTTACGCAAATGCAAACACTTTTACCAGCTCTCCCAATGTACTCTCTTTACACACCTGGCACCGTATAACATCCACTACGTTAGTTGTCATAGAATCCTTTCCCTTGCCGTAAGGACACACAATAGGAAGGGGTTGGGCCAATCGCTCCAACTGTTAACAGGGAGAATACCAATAACCGTCGTTATATATCTTTGGAAAACCAGTACTTTTTTTCTTACAGGAGCGTCCATGGTCGCCACCTAGGTTCCTATAATGCGGATGCTGAAATGTTCGTTCGTCTCTCGGCGTTAAACTAGGGTATACAGTGCGACGCATCCGCTTCGCTCTCTGAAGTCGTTACCTGACAGGGATGTCCATGACTGGGTAACCACTCGCCTGTGCTGCGTGTAATGTCCGTTCTACCAGATTGGATTCACCTGCAGTTCTCGCTGAAATTCCTGAAGTCGTAGGCAATACATTTTCAATGATCCTTTTCCCGCATCAGAGGTGAGGGCAGATCTGATAGGGATAAGTCTGCTCTTGCAGAACGACTTGCAATATTATGTTTCTGTAGGTATCCGCAGAGAATTGAGCATGAACATGAGAACGGGACCGACAGTCTGTCGATTTTTCCCGTTTCAGATGCATGTTTCCTGATTGCTGATTTTTCAGGTCAAAAGGGAGCCGTTTCCATCTGAGCTGAGCAGATCATAAAACAAATGTCTATATAATGGTGTCACAAAGCAGCTCAGCGCTCAAGAACTAGTTGAGCAATTTCTGACATAATGCAACTACGAGTAGTGAACAAGCTCCTGTCCCATCGCTAACTCTCTCTCTCTCTCTCTCTCTCTCTCTCTCTCTCTCTCTCTCTCTCTCTCTCTCTCTCTCTGTATATCTGGTCTCGCCTGACCACCTGAACATGTTGCACAAGGAGTGCTATGACCTGGGATATTGTTATTCCACAGAAGTTAATGGAGGAATGACTTTCACTGAAGAACCAAGACGGCTTGCACAGCAGTCCTCAACATTAGTGTGCGCTGAGATGACGTAGAAAAACCCCATCGCGATCTCTGCTTTCGACTTGGATTCCCCGTTTCGTGAGGAA